TTTAAAGGCGCGAAATCAGAGCAGGTGCAACAGAGACACGTCAGATTACTTCCGGTTCCCCCCCTCCATGAGGCTGGCGTCCGCGAGAAGTCGAACAAAAGAATGGCCTAGCCCTTCTGTTTACCCCTGGGAAGTTCTGTTTTTGTTCTGCCTAACTCTTGATCAATGGTGCCATTGCTGGGTAAGAGACGATTATTATGTTTACAATAATTAAAAATTGGCGGCATAACACTTTCAGTTTATTGATATTGCTTTGCTTTTACCAGTTTGTTCTTACTTTTTGTGACGTTCCTTTTCAGTGATATGGAAATGTGAAGTTCTCAGCACAAGAAGATAAGATTTTTGTATTTTTCATATAAGTTTTCAGTGTGAACGGAATACATGTATCAGTGAGATGTTAATAGTGTTTTAATTGTTACTCAAAATCAGGGGCGTAGTCTGAATTTCCATAAAGGCACATGCTGCAAATGTTTTGAAAATTATATTAACAAATGAAAATTAGAATTACATGTATTGGAAAGTTGAATATTGTTTCTGCGTATTAATATGTTGTTTTTAAGGTCTGATTTAAGGGTTTGTTTTTACTTCCCTGTATGAAGTAAAAAGGAAGTATTGTAATCCCGAAAAGTTTCAGGCAGCATATTTCAACGAAAATATCCACTTTGGCCGCTTTTGAATGCAATTTAACGATGTTTTTGCGTGATATCTGTACGTAAGGGCAGAATAAAAGACTCTTTTCCTCCAAAAAAACTAAAAAACTGCTTTAAAATGAATTCTGAAGAGAATTCTTCGTGGCGTCTGTACGAACGTATGTACATACGTACGTATCTCGCATAACTCAAAAACAAGTAGCCTCAGAATGTTGAAATTTTGTATATAAGACTGCTATAACATGCAGATGAGCACATCGTATTTTGGTTTCAACCGGCCGCGCCAAACGTATATAAATATATTTATAAATATATCCACTCTGTTACCCGGCTCAGTGATCTCAGTTTCTTTACTCTTATATGTTTGTAAATTGTACATTTTTTGCTTTAAAAATGATTGAATTATGTTGTTTTTATCTTCCAGTTAAGGGTTTTATGCCTTTAGTAAATCTGTATGCAATATTTTTAGAATTATCAACAATTTTAAAGTTGTTTAAGTGCCGCTAAGCCTAATTTGATGGCGGCCATTGCTCTTGTTTACATTTGAAACAGCCGAGTAGCGGATTTGTTCCCAATCTAGAGAAACTTAGCTTAGCAGCAACAAAGATAACGCCTTCATTTATTATTTAAATCATGCTTAATCCTTTCTGGAATTTTTTCGAGAAAATAAGCGTTTAAGATTTACTTCGTAATTTTTAATACAGATATTTTGAGTTTTTATGGATTTATGCCTTGTCGCGAAGTGAAAACTGATTTAATTGAATGAAAAATACTCAATCGTCTGTGAAAAACTGTTTCTTTTTTGTTTTTTTTGCTTAATTTCTTTTATACATATTTCTAGCTTTATTATAGTATTTGAATAGAACATGTGGCAACGATTAGATAATTCTTTAAATGATATACATTTTGTGCATTCTGAGTTATAATATGAACGAAATATAATACTGTTAAGTAAACCTAGCGCCAGACTGTCGCTATGGTAAACAAAGTGAATTTTAAAGAATGCATTTATTCTATTGTGGTTTATGCGCTGTCGGCGAAGTAGGTTTAATTCAATCTAATAAGTTTAAATGAAATGCAAGAAAAAATTCCGTACAAGGAAGTCATGTGGTGTACACATCAGATTTTTTGAATTCATATTAGTGGTCCGCCAAATATAAAATTATATACTTAGTCATCCGTGAAGTTCTAAGGGTTGAGGTGTGGTGTATTTAATTATGGCAAAGCATACTAGGTCTATCTGCCTAGGGGAGGGATGCCTTTGTGGAGGACTTTCTAAGGGGAACTGGCTCGTATACACGTTACACATCGGGTAAACCACGGAAACACCCATGCAGCCAGCCCATTTGTGGGATTTGAATCTCGGATCGAACTACCAGTGTTCAGCGACTCGGCCGCTGGTGGGCTCTAAGGGTTGACAACTGCTGCTTTAGACCATGCTTGAAATATATTTCTGTTAGCAAAATTCCAAAATCAGTTTTAGAATTTCAATTTTTAAATAAAGATATATATATACCAAAATTTGACAAATCACATTACCAAATTCTAATTTTATGTCTCATGATCAATGGTAACCATCAGAGTCGTGCCTACATATTTTTTCACCTCAGGCAAAGCGGTAAATGAACCATCAGAGTCGTGCCTACATATTTTTTCACCTCAGGCAAAGCGGTAAATGTGTGCCCCTGTATACAATGCATTATTTACCTACTTGTGTGGGAGAGGATAAATAAATAATACTAAATGATGTTTGAAAACATAACATTACACAAACACGCGTAATATATATATACATATAGAACAAATTAACTATATTTATATATTTTTATGCTCATTAAAAGTAACTATTGTATGTGAAAATACAATAACTTTTACGGTAATATTTAATTACAACTTTGTATATTCTACAAAGTGAAACATATATAATGATTAACAATTCTGAAATGGAAGACATTAAAAATATGTTTTTTGAAAATGGGAAATAATATTTAGTATAAATAAAACATCTGCTCAAAAATTTATGGCATACACTTTTCAAGCATATTTATAATTTAATTTTTCTTGCTTTTAAAGAAGCAAACTCATCAACAATTTTTTCAAAATCTATTTGATTACTTAACTCATGTTCTTTAGAGAGAATGGCCAGGTTTGAAATTTTTCTTGGCTTAGTGAAGATCTCGTATAGTTCTTTGTTATTTTAAGTTTGCTAGCGTTTCTTTCGCCACTAGCTACAGTAACTGGCAACCTTAAGAAAATTCTTAATGCTACTCTAAAATTCGGATAGGACTGAATTATAATCACAAATTATTTTTAAAAGTTCTAAGCTTAAGTCACAAGAAAGTGAATTAAAATGTATTGTTGAATGAAATTTACATAACGTTAAAATTGAAAAAATATAAAACAAAAGTATGTAGCTGCTTTTGTGTTTCTGCGCAACATGAGTGTGAATACAAGCCAAAAACTTTGATTCATGCACCTCCTTTATTGGAAAATTTTATAAAAAAAAAGGGGGGGAAGAAAGGGAAAAAAAGTACAGTTATTAATAATATGGCGAACATTATTAATCACCCTTGTTTATTCTTCGAATGCTATACCAGCAGGCGTTTATGAAACTGCAAAACAGAGCAGTTATGCGGCCCTCTGTGTTCAGTATAGTGGAATTTGGCAAGTTTGTTATTAGTAAAGAGCTGAAGTCAAACTAATGAAATATTATACAGTCAAAAGCTGTTAATCCGGAATGATCTATAATCCGGACCTCAAAGCTACAAACTTTCTGCGCATGCGTAACGCATGCGCATGCGTAACGCATATGCATTTATGCATGCGCGTTTAATGTAGAATGGACGGTATAAGCTAAGCTAAAATTATCTATTTCAGTTAATGTTGCAGATTGCGTTGTTCCTTAATCTTTGAATTGGATCTGGCTTATTATTTTTTGCAGACTGTTAGAGCTATTTTATAAAAGTAAGCTTGAACTTTCGATTATGTCAAAAAGAATTTCTGATTCTGGAGCTGCCAAAGGATCTACAAAGCGAAAGCATGTTTCGATGTCCATCAAACAAAAAGTGGAATTGCAGCAAAAAATGGATAAAGGCATATCCTCATGTTGCGGCACGCAATGAACTGGAAGTTGATCTGTCAGCACTATCCTTATCTTCAGGGCAGATGTTTTTATTTTATTTGGCTTATAATTCCTTACTAGATGTAGTATTTCATCTCGATGTACTCCCTCTTTGATATGATTTAAAACAAATTCCTCGTCATTATAAATATCACGAATACACATCAAATAGTTTTCTGGTTGCAATTTTCTAATTTCGACTACGTGTAATGTATGCTTTACGCATGCGCACGTTGAAAGAAATGTTTAATAAAGTAAACAAATAAATATTAAGCCTTTTTTTTTTTTTGTAAATTTTGATACCTTTTAGATCATAATTGTTCTTTATTTCATAAATTACAGTTTCATATTTTTAATTTTATAATTTCTGCATGCCATCTTACCAGATTTAAAGTGATGATCTATAATAAAAAAAAAAAAAAAAAAAAAAAAAAAAAAAAAAAACCATAATCCGGAATCGTCGAAGTCCCGACGAGTCCAGATTAAAGACTTTTGACTGTATACACTACTGTGAAAGCTCATGTCTTTTGAGAATAAATTAATGATATTAATATTTCTTTTTCTAGCTGGATTGTTTATAACACAAAAGTCTTTTAATATTCATTAATTCCGAAAATAAAAGTTAAAAGTCATACGTTTTAAAAATAAATTTCTGAATTTTTGATCGAATAGCTAACTTGGTGCCTCTTCTATTTGTTCACTTGAGACAAGTGCCTTGCCCTCGTCCTGGCCCCAGTAACCATCATGCATCACTTTTTATATGATACATGATTGCTAATTACAGAAAACTAGATATGTTATTATGATAAGCAACATAATTTGCTACAAAAGGATATTGTTTACAATAAAGTGGCAAGAATAAGAAACTTATATTTTGAAATGTTTTGAATTTAACACCTGATAATTGTATTTGTGCTGCACAAGCAATATCTTTAATGTATTAAAAATTATTATGTGTACAATTTCTTGCATATTTACTCCATGAAAGATTATTACAATTAATTTACCATGTTACAAGCCTGAGGGAAAGAGATCTTGCATTTATTGGCATAAATTCATTTGTCTTTCAGTTCTTACAAGTCACCCTGAGATTTTAAAAATTAATCACAAATATCATGCAATATTAATTTTAGATTACGATAAGTAGCTTACAGCAAAAAAACACTATTTTTTGTTGTTTTATGTTGTTATTAATAATTTCAGAAATAAGCAGGAAAAAAAAGATGTACCTTCTAATATTATAGTATCGGAAGCAACGTTTCCCACTTCTTTAGAATATTGTACGAAAACCTCACCATATTCAAGAGTTCCTGTTTCATCTATCACTCCCAACATATTCCGTCCACTTTCAGGTGGAATAGCAATTCTTGCTTTTGATCGAAGTTGATCTGAAAAGGAAAAAAAATAATAATCAAGAAACTTTTAAAAAATTGCAATCTTAAGAAAAAGTTCACCATTACAAATTTCAAAAGTATTTTTAAAAAACTGCTATCTGATCTTTATGCCCAGATATTTTTTAACATCTAAAGCAGTTTTAAATTAAATAGTTAATGTTTAAGTACTTTAAGAATTAATCACAAAAATTCAAGAAACAGAAAATAAAATCACATCTAAATTAAACTGGTCAAAATAGCAGTGGAGAGTGTGCCAAAGAGTAGGGGGGGGAACATTGTGATATGTCATTATTCCATCCTCAATTAAACAATGGAGAGATTTTTGCACTCAGTCAGTCAAGAAGAGATTTAGTTACTCAAACACATTCGTACACATTTCTGCACATGGAAATTAAGGACTTTTAAGGACCATTAATGAAAAAAATTAAGGACCTATGAGCAAATGGCAACTGAATAAATTCAATTAAAAATATTATCTATGCCTGAAATTCACTTTTGTAATACCATCCTAAAAATAAAATAGATCCGCAAATAGTATGCATTATTACTAAACATGAATTAACATAATTATTAATAAGTTAGATAACAAAATAAACTTTATGCAATTTATCAAGTAGCATTAAATATTTTACACTTATACAGTCAAAAGTCGTTAATTCGGACACCCATAATCCGGAATGATCTATAATCCGGACCTCAAAGCTACAAACTTTCTGCGCAAGACCTTTAGGGCGGCGAATATGCTTGTGCGAGTGCGCAAAATACGTTTACGAGTGCGCGTTTAATGTATAACGGATGGTATCAGCTAAGCTAAAATTATCTAATTATCTATTTCTGTTAATATTGCAGATTACGTTGTTCCTTACTTAATCTTTGAACTGGATCCTGCTTATTATTTTTTGCAGACTGTTAGAGCAATTTTATAAAAGTAAGCTTGAACTTTTGATTATGTAAAATAGAATTTGATATATATTTATTAATATGTAAAGGATCTACAAAGCGAAAGTATATTTCGAAGTTCATTAAACAAAAAGTGGAATTGCAAAAAATGGATAAAGGCATATCCTTTGTTTATCTAAACTTTAACATTTGTTTATCTAAACTTTGTTTATCTTTAACACCCAGGGCGCAATGAATTGGACGTTGATCTGTCAGCACTATCCTTATCTCCAGGGCAGATGTTTTTTATTTTATTTGGCTTATAATTCCTTACTAAATGTAGTATTTCATCTCGATGCACTCCGTCTTTGATATGATTTAAATCAAATTCCTCGTCATTATAATTCGCTTCCGATAGCGAAGAAAGTAACAGAGGTTATTGAAAACGAAAAAATTTCAATTGACAAATTAGTCAGTAGACACTGCAATTATAGGACTTGAACAGCGGAACTTTGTAACTGAACAAGAAATTATGTCTGTTTATAGAATTAAAGAGAATGTATTATCACATAAAAAACGAAGCAACTTAAACAACTTACATTGAAAGAAATGTTTAATAAAGTAAACAAATAAATATTAAGCTTTTTTTTTGTAAATTTTGATACCCTTTAGATAATAATTGTTCTTTATTTCATAAATTACAGTTTCATATTTTTAATTTTATAATTTCTGCATGCCATCTTACCAAATTTAAACTGATGATCTATAATCCGGAATCGCCGAAGTCCCGACGAGTCCGGATTAACGACTTTTGACTGTAATAGTTGAACATATTTGAAAGTGACATTTACGTTTTACTAGCTTTATGTTTTTTTTTTTTTTTTTTTTTTTTTTTTTTTTTTTTTTTTTTTTTAATGTCTCATTTTGTCACATACTTGGTTTAGTAAATAGCAGGTAGCTTTTATGTCAAGCAACATTAGATTAAAATGAGAAGTAAGATCATAATCAGCATGATTCGTAACCAAAGACTGAATGTTGTCACCACTGCTGCTTGTCTAGATAGAGACCTGCTGATTAGAACAAACCTGAAAGGCTTGATGTAGACACAGTTGGCAAGTGCTGAAAGTTAGTTAGGCTCTGTTTGATGCAGTTAGTGTCGTAGCTTCTTGTAGAGTTCCAGGGGTTGTAACCTAGTTAATATACTTTAAGGTTCCAATAAGCCATTAAAGCACCAGAGGTATTAAGTTTTTTTGTATTATTTTAAGTCTCACTAGATGAAAAGAATAAGATTTACTTGAATTTTTACATTTTTGTGTTTTATCTTGTGACCACAGTGACTATAATTGAAAGACAATAGCTCGCTCTAATAGGTTACAGGTTTCGGAGGACAGAGATGCCTGGTGTCTGACATAGGTAAACCAGCGTATATCCCACGCCCTCCTTTATCTAGCGGCAACAACTCCCTGGAGCCCCAAGAGGCTGCTTTGGGAGTTTATTGAGACATGAAAAAGGCTCTATGTGGCCAAACAAGGGCACTCATGTTTTGTTTTCTTTGACTGAACAGATATGGTAAGGACACAAAAATGTTGCAGAATAAAAAAAAAAAAAAAAAAAAAAAAAAGGCAGCAAGAGCAAGAATTAAAACATGGAAAGAAATATAATTAAGGCATGTGTTGAGCTAAGTTGCTGGGATAATGACCTTAGGTGGCATGCTGTGCACAGTATGTTGAGTTCTGTGCTAGGAGTTCGTAGGGCATAAATTACACAAGCGTTTGGACATAAGGTTGTCCATGGTGGTGTAGTTCATACAGCTAAACAGTTCGCACATGTGTGTAGTCGCAAAGAATTCACTGTTTGCATGCGTTGTTCATAATTTGCACATAGTTTACAGTTGCTTCAGGTCTCTGTTTACGAACATGCACAGGAGGATGCAGCTGGCTGCAGTTGTAGTACATGAGGATGAACATTTACACACTCTACAGTTTCACAGTTTGTGCATTAGTGGAGTGCAGGCATTGCATCCTGTGACAATTTCATGGAACCTAAAATATTTGAAGTCGATACTCTTTGGTTGCTCATGTAGATCGTGTTCTTGTTACTGGGAAGCTGGCAAGGGTTTAATGTGGCTGGCACACATCTTGGCCCTTGGAGGCTAATGCATTGATGGTTTTGCAGATTTGTGTTTTTGTTGGCTTAGTGCTGATAATGTAGCGCTGGAAGGCCTCAGTTATTGTTGTGGGATGCTTAATATGAGTTAAGGTTGTCAGTGGGCAGTGGAAGATGTAATGATTGGGTGCTCCTTCTCGGCCACAGATGCAGGTATCTGTGTTGGAGATATGGCGTCTGAAGTAATATGAAGGGAAAGGGCCGTGTCCAGTGATATATCTTGTGAGTTATGGGGTTGCAATGAGACAGGCCGTTGACACTTTTGGAAGAAAGATATAGGTACGGCAAGCTGTTATTCACTTGTGTTCCATTCATGCTGCCACTCTTTGAGGACTGCTTGATGCAATATTGGTTTTAGATGAGACGGCGGAACTGGGATGTTCTCTCAATGGGCGTCAGCTGCGTTGGCAGCTTCCTTCGCTAGGACGTCTGCAGCCTCGTTGCCCTCGTGCGCCTTGACTGCGGTTAGTTGAATGCTGCTGTATCTGCTGTGGTAAAGTTGACTCTGCATGCCTGTAATGGTGATTCAGGATGACATGGAGAGATGATTGGCTGTTGGAGCAGATGCAAATGGGATGCTGTGTGATTCTTATAGTTTGTAGATTTTATGTCAAGCGTCATAGGTTAAAATGAGAAGTAAGCATAATCAGCACGATTCATAACAAAAGACTAAATGTTGTCACTGCTACTGCTTGTCTAGAGAGAGACCTGCTGATTAGAACAAAACCTGAAAGGCCTGATGAAGGCACAGTTGGCAAGTTTTGAAAGTTGGTTGGGCTTTGTTTGATGTAGTTAGTGTCGTAGCTTCGTGTAGATTTCCAGGGGTTGTAACCCAGTTAATATACTTTAAGGTTTCAATACGCCACTAAAGCAATAGAGGTGATAAGTAGTTTTGTATTATTTTAAGTCTCACTAGATGCAAAGAAAAGTTTTACTTGAATTAGATTCGGCATAAGCCATATCAGTCAGTGCACCTGTGGACAGACTGGCTCTCCGGAGCACTACCTAACATCCTGTCCCCTTACAGAAGAGCTTCACGTCAACTTTCCGTCCACAAATCGACAGGCCTTCTGTAAGTTTTTACTAAAGCAAAAGCACCTCCTGGTCAGAAAAATCGGGCTCCTAATCGGCAAACTGGCAGATCTAAATATGGACCTGTGCCAAACTTAGCCAAACTCGCAGACTGCCACAATAGACAAATAGTGATTTAGTGACTGGCACCAATATCTAATATCTTTGAATAATCTTGAATAATATTGAATGTGTGTACAACACTGATAGTCCTATTGCATGTATATACAAGCATTATTTAACGAAACTGTATTATGACAATTATTTGTATTATGTTAACTAACTGAACTGTACAATGGAGTTAGCATTATCTGTATCTGCATATATTATATCTTCTGTACCTTAAATCATTTATTTCGTATCATACTGTATCATGCAAACTATTCAACACCCTGTATCATGTATTCTGACATCCGCATATATTATCTTGTATTATCCTGTATCATGTAACTTATTTATTCAACTTACCATGCGCCTTGTATCAAGTATCCTGACATTAGCATAAATTTGTATTTCCAGCACCTAGTATCATATATCTCGCAAAATCTTAGTTATGTAACTTATTCTGGACCCAGTACCACGTATCCCAGCATCTGCATATATAATCCCGTATCATCTTGTAGCATGCAACATATTCTGCACCATGTATCATGTATCTTGGTATCTGCCTAGATTAGTATCTTCTGCACCTTGTATCATATATCTTGCAACATCCTGCAATACGTAACCTATGTTGTAAAATGTAACCCTGTACGTTTTAACAAATATTTTGTATCATTGTGTATTATATATATCACATTTCTCGTATCTTCCTGTAATAATTATCACATATCTCGTATCATCCTTTAATATGTAACCTATTTTGAACCTTCTTTTCT